GAGATTTGGGGTATTTGAGGAGGTTTTAGGATGTTTTGGGGCACAGCCCCAGGGACACACAGAGATTTGGGGTGTTACAAGGGATTTGGGGGCACAACCCTGGGCACACACATGGAGATTCAGGGCGTTTTATTTGGTGTTTTGGGGGGCACAGCCCCTGAGGTTTGAGGTGTTTGAGGAGGATTTAGGGAGTTTTTGGGCACAGCCCTGGGCACACACAGAGCGTCTCAGGCTGTTTCTTGGGGGATTTTGGGGCTGCTTTTGGGCACAGCCTCACACAGAGGCTTGGGCTGTTTCTTGCGGGGTTTCAGGGGGCACAGCCCTGGGCACACAGAGAGAGGTTTGGGGTGATTTAGGGGGTTTTAGGGTGCAGCCCTGGGCTTGGGCTGTTCCTCAGGGGTTTCAGGGCTGTGTGTGGGCTGTTCCTCGGGGGGTTTCGGGGCCGCTCGGGGCTCACGGCGGCGCTGTCCGGCGCAGGCGGGTCGCGATGGTGAAGCTGTTCATCGGGAACCTGCCGCGGGAGGCGACGGAGCAGGAGATCCGCTCCCTGTTCGAGCAGTACGGGAAGGTGCTGGAGTGCGACATCATCAAGAACTACGGCTTCGTGCACATCGAGGACAAGACGGCGGCCGAGGACGCCATTCGCAACCTGCACCACCACAAGCTGCACGGCGTCTGCATCAACGTGGAGGCCAGCAAGAACAAGAGCAAGGCCTCCACCAAGCTGCACGTGGGCAACATCAGCCCCGCCTGCACCAACCTGGAGCTGCGCGCCAAGTTCGAGGAGTATGGCCCCGTCATCGAGTGCGACATCGTCAAGGACTACGCCTTTGTGCACATGGAGCGGGCCGAGGACGCCGTAGAGGCCATCCGGGGGCTGGACAACACCGAGTTCCAAGGTGAGGCACGGGGCTGGGCGGCGGGAGGGCTCTGGACGTTCCCACCGGCCCCGTTCCGGGGTCGATCCTGGATGTGACCACGGCCGGCTCCGTGTGCCGTAAAGCGCCCTCGGGGCTCTGGGGTTGGTGTCGGTTGGTGCCCGCCCCGCCGCAGTTCCAGGGCCGCCCTCGCGTTGCGGCTGGAACGAGGGCAAGGGCTTGGGGGCTCTGGGCCGGGGAGGACGGGACTGACCCATCTCTGATTAACCAGCACGGCCGCCCCGCAGGAGGACCCCGACGGTGACGTCCTGTGCCGGGCCGGAGCAGCGGGTGACGCCAGGCTGCCTCCCGCCCTTGTAGCCTTGCCCAGCCTGGTAAGAGGGTGACGGAGGCGCCCGACCCCGCGCCTGGCGTCGCTCGGGCGCTTGACGGGGCCGAGCGGCCGGACTCGAGCCGCGGCGCTGGCGGCGGTGATGGCGAGCGCGTCTCCCGGCCGGGTGCTCAGGGCGGCGTCCGGAGCTTCACCCACGCGGCGGCGGGGCCGGACCGGGCGCTCCCGGCGCTGCCGGGGCTCCACACGTGCTGCTGCCCCCATTCCGGGCCTTCCCCAAAAAACAGCGACCCAGCCGGGCTGGCGCAGCTGCACCCAGAGCTGTCCCGGCCGCGTCCGCGCTTGGCTTTGCCTCGTGCCGCGCTCGGGCCAGGCCCCGTTCGCTCCGGGGTGCTTCCCGGTGTCGCATCCCTCTCGCTGCCGCTCCGGCGTTTTCCAGCGCGAACCTTTGCCGTCACATGGGGCCGGCAGTGCCGGGTCTGACCCCGGGCTGCCGGAGCTTTGCCGGGCTGGCCGGTGTGGCCGCGCTCGGCTGTGGCAGCACGTTCCGGTCAGCCGCTGTCCAGCGTCCATCTGGTGGCTCACGCTCGGTCCTGCAGCGGCTCTTCCCGCGCCGGTGGCTGCGGAGGGCTTGGGGGGGTGGCAGCCGGTCCCGTCCTGTCCCAGCGGTGCCCCGGCACGGCCGCACTGACCCTGCCTCTCGCGTCTCTCCCCAAGGCAAGCGGATGCGCGTGCAGCTGTCCACCAGCCGCCTGCGGACGGTGCCCGGGATGGGAGACAAGAGCGGCTGCTACCGCTGCGGGAAGGAGGGGCACTGGTCTAAGGAGTGCCCGGTGGATCGCCCGGGGCAAGTGGCGGACTTTGCCGAGGCCTATAACGAGCAGTACGGAGCCGTGCGCACTCCCTACACCGCGGGCTATGGGGAGACCGTGTATTACGATGAGGCCTACGGCGGGATGGCCGACTACTACAAGCGCTACCGCGTCCGCTCCTACGCCACGGCCTCGGCGTACGACGCCTACGCGGAGCAGACCATGGCCCAGTACTCCCAGTATGCCCAGTACTCCCAGGTCCAGTCCTCCGCCATGGCCGCCACCACGGCCATGGCCGGCCGCATCCCCACCACCTTAGACGCGTACGACCGAGCGCTGCTGCCCACCCCGGGCGCGGCGGCCGCCGTCGCCGCCGCCGCCGCCACCGCCGCGGCCGCCGCCGCGTCCTCCACATATTACACCCGGGACAGGAGCCCCCTGCGCCGCACGGCCGCCGCGGCCGGCACCGTCGGAGAGGCGTACACGTACGAGCGTGGGCAGCTGTCGCCCGTCTCCTCGGTGGCCCGGGCGTCCCTCTACGACATGCAGCGCTTCGGGCGGGACCCGTACGCGGACCGGGCGCGATACTCCGCCTTTTGAGCCGGAGGTGAGCGCGTTGGTGGCTCTTGGCACTGCGGGGGGGCCCCGCCGCCGGTGTTCCCGGTTGTGCCAGTCGTTTGAGGCGGGTGACGGGTCACGCTGACACGGACGGGCCCCATGGGCGTTAAAGCCCAGCCGTGGCGAGGAGGTGCCGTGGTGAGGAGAGCGGTGCTGGTGTCACTCTCACGGATGTAACTCACGTTCCTGCTGGGCTGGGCGCCGTCCCGGCGCAGTCCCCGCGGGGTGGGGGGTTCCCACAGAGCCCCCGGCCCGGGGGCAGCTCCTGCTCGCACGGGCTATGCCCGGGTCCCGGCGGGCCCAGGGTCCGAGGGGCCGGAGCCCCGCCGCTGCTCCACGTCAGGACTCTCTTGCTCCCAGGAAGCCGCAGCTCCCCAGGGCACCGGGGCTCGGCACAGTTCCGGATCGGCCCCGGGAGCACCTGCGCCAACTCCTCTTTTCTCTTACAGGTAAGATTTGTGCGGCTGGACGTCGGGGTCCCGTCGCACGCCGACTCGGCGCCGCGCGTCTCGGGCCGCGCCGGGTGCCACCGCCGCCGCGTGCCGCTCCCGGGCCCGTTCCTTATGGACACGCGGCTCTTCCTCAGCCTGGGCAGGATTAGCTCAGCCCCTCCCCTAGCTTCCCCCGCCCCCCTGGGCAGGATTTTGCTTTTCCAGGTAGTTTTGGGTCCCCACCCCAGGCTCAGGCGTGAGCGCGCAGCCGCAGCCGTCCCCCAGCGCCAGCTTTGCTTTGCTTCGCCGCCCCCTCGCTCCCCCGGAGCTTTTCCCGAGTCGTCGTTTTGTCTTTTTTTTTTTTCCTTTATTTTTTAAGAGGGTGAATAATCCAGTGGTAGGTTCTTAGCCCAACGCTGTAGCTGACCAGAGGCCGCCGCGCCGGTGGGGGTGGAACCCCCCGAGTGATTTAGAGTCCCCTGACCCCACTTTCCGGTAAAATAAAACTCAAAATTTTTCACAAACGGCGCTGGCTCCGCCCCCGGTTCTTCCTCTGCACTCATGTCCCCCCAGAACACGGCACGGAACCTTCTGGACTCCCTGGTGTTGTCTGTGCCCTGCCTGGCTCTCCTGTGCACACCAGAGCCCCCGGGGAGGGGCTGCTGCAAATGGGAACACCCCCAAAACGGTCCTGGGGTCCCCCAAAGGGGCACCCAGGGGTGACAGAGGGGTTTTAACCCCCAGCTCTTCCTCCTTTCATGGGTGAGTGGCAGGAGCTGCCACTTAACCTGACCAGGGCTAATTAGTCTGCAAACTGCCTTGTTTGAACCAAACTGCTTCATATTGTCCCCAAAGTGGCTCGTTTGTCCCCAGACTGTTCCTGCCTCTTGGTGTTCAGCAATTAAGGCCATTAAGCCCAGGACATGCCTTTGGTGATGCTGCCATTTCTGCCTCACCAGCGCTGATAGGTGCCGTGGTCACCCGCGGGTGCTGCCATCGCCACACTTGGGGCCAGTCCCAGGGGTGTGTGGCCACCCTGGAAATCAGGGGAGAAGCGTCAGATCCTCCTGCCTGGCTGTTTACTGCGGTGGTTAATGAGCCTCATCCATCCCTCCTGTGGTGGCACAGCCGGACTGGGCCGTGACTGGTCCCTGGGGAGAGATGGGGACAGGAAGAATCTGCATGTGGTGGTGACGCTGGTACCTGGCACGGCATGCACCACCCCTCAAAACTAGCTTTCCTCACCCAAAATGAGCCCTGGCAAAGGTTGGTGCTGGTGCTCTGGTGTTGTGGCAGGGCAGCGTCTGGCACTTCTGCTGCCGGCTCTGAATGCTGCTCGTTTCCAAATCCACTCCTCCATGGTGGGAAAGCAGCCCCATCACCGGGAGCACCATCAACCAGGGCTGGGTGATGATGGTGGCACTGGGAGGTGCCCCCAGGGGTGGGAGTGGACCCCAGGACTGGGAAAGAACCAGGCGGGAGGCATCGGGCACCGGAGCAGACCTCAGTGTTTATTTACAGTCATAAAAAACCCCCGTCATCCTGCCGGGCCTGACGCTGGAAACGGGGAATTCACCCAAAAAATGGGACAACTCATGGTATAAAAGATTCTGAGCCTGCAACCATTGCGGGTTATGAACTGGCACCGAGCGCCTGCAGGGGATGAACCGTGCAGCCACTGCCAACCATAACCGCGGAACCTTCTAAAAAATTCCAACAGTAAAACCAGAAAGAATCGGCTGAAAAAGAACCGTCCGTGCCCCAGCGGGGCGGCGAGCGGGGCCGCGGCCGGCTCAGAGGCGGCGCTGGTAGCCCGAGTGGATGCGGGCAGGGGGCAGGTAGTCACTGTAGCCACCCGAGTAGCGGGCGTACTCGCTGTGCGCGTCTGGCAGGCGGCGGTAGTCCAGCGGGGACTTGGTGGGCGAGCGGCGGTACGCCAGCGGCGAGTCCGCTAAGCGCCGGTAATCGGCCAGCTCGGACAGACGGCGCTCGGAGCCGTACCTGGGCGAGAGAAGAGAGCGGGATCAGCCGGGGGGATGGCGCCCAGATCTGCCCGCGGCGGCGACACCGCGTCCCGCCCGGGGACGCACCGCGATGGGCAAAGCCGGCGCAGGACAGGATCGGACACCGGATGCCGCGGAGGCCCCGCTGTTGTGCCACCGCCTCCCCTCACCCACACCAAGCCACCGTCCCCTCCCCGGGATCTGCGCGGCGCGAGCGGAGCCATGGCGCCCACCGCGCCGGGCGATAGCGAACCGCGCCGGTGCCACGTGGCGCCGGTCAAGCCGCGAGCGGTGTGCCGGAGCCCGGCAAGCCGGCGAGCAGCGGGAGGCAGGGGCGGGGGTCGGTGCCCCGCCCGGCACCGTACCTTTTAGCCAGAGAGGACGATTTTTTGTACGGGTCGTCGTAGGCGGCGCTGCGAGGCGGGGAGAGGCGGGTGCGCTCGTACGGCGGTGCAGCGGCGGCCTGTGCCAGGCCCAGGTAGGAGCCCGCCGGCTGCCCCAGCTGGCTCGGCCCGTCGTAGGCACTGCCCGGCTGGGCTCGGTACGCGGCCGCCAGCGCGGCGGAGGACGGCTGCTGCGCTGGGTAGGAGGCCGCCATGGCGCCGGAGGCCTGCGCCCGATACGCGGCCGTCAGCGGGGCAGAGGCCTGCGCCTTGTAGGAGGCGGCGGCGACGGCGGCCTGGCTGCCGTAGGACGCGGCCAGCGAGGAGCCCGTCTGCGCGCCGTAGCCGGCGGGGAGCGCGGCAGCCGCGGGCTGGCTGCCGTAGGACGCGGGCAGGCCCGTGGCGGGCTGGGCGCCGTACGAGGCTGAGTGGCCCACGGCGGGCTGGGCGCCGTACGAGGTGGACAGCGCAGGTTGGGCACCGTAGGAGGCAGAGTGGCCGGCCACGGGCTGGTAGGCAGCGGCGGCGTGGCCTGCCACGGCCTGGGTGCTGTAAGAGCTGGCGTGCACTGCCACGGCCTGGGCGCTGTACCCGGCAGACAGCACAGTGCCGGGCTGGGCGCCGTAGGAGCCGGCGTGGCCATCCATGGGCTGGGCGCCGTAGGAGCCTGCGGCCAGCTGGGTGCCGTAGGATGCCACGTGCACAGCCACGGCCTGGGTGCTGTAGGAGCCGGCGGAGCCGGCAGCGGGCTGGGCGCCGTAGGCGGCGATGGCGGGCTGGGCGCTGTAGCCGGCTGAGTAGCCTGAGGCGGGCTGGGCGCTGTAGGAGGAGGCCAGGGCAGCGGACTGGACGCCGTAGGAGCTGAGGGAGTTGGCGGCCGCGGGCTGCGCGCCGTACGATGCGGCAGCGGCGGGCTGGGCGCCGTAGGAGCCGAGGGAGTTGGCGGCAGCGGGCTGAGTGCCCGCGGCGCCCAGGGAGCCGACCGAGGGCTGGGAGCGGTAGGCGCTGCCCAGCGAGGCCGAGGGCTGCGCTCGGTACGCGGCGGCCTGGCCCGTGGTGGGCTGCGGGCGGTACGCCACGCCCAGGGAGGCCGAGGGCTGGGCTCGGTACGTGGCCCCCAGCGAGGCCGAGGGCTGGGCGCGGTAGGCGGCCGGCTGCGCCGTCATGGGGAGCGGCACCGCCGCGTAGCCGGCGCGGGTGGGCGAGCGCCGCAGCGGGCTGCGGTCCCTGCCAAAGTAGGAGGGGGATGAGGGCCGGGGCTGCGTGTCGAAGGCGTCGTACTTGGCGCCGAAGCGCTGCTGGTAATCGTACAGGGAGGGGGTGGCGGCGTAGCCGGCGCCCGTGGCCGAGGGGAAGGCGGCGTCGGCCGCCCGGCGCTGCTGGTCGAAGCCCTCGATCTTGGGCTGGAACTTCTCGCGGTACTCGAGGCCGATGCGTTTGGTCTTGTCGACGCTGAGGGCGGGCGGCGGCGCCTGGCCCGTGCCCTTCTTCTGCACGTTGGTGGAGAGCTCCACGTTCACCCGGCGCCCCTTCACCTCCTTCCCATTTAGGTTTTCGATGGCAACTTTAGCATCGGCTTCGTTCTCCATGTGCACAAAGGCATAGTCTGACAAAGCAGCAGAGAGAGCAGTGAGGGGAGAAAACACAACTCGTTACAGGAGCCAGCGCTAACGAGCCGTGCGGCGGCAGCGGGACGGGCGCAGGACGGGCGCTGCCGGCCCCGGGACGGCGCTGCCGGCCCCGCTCGCCGGAGAAGACACGACCCCCACCATCGGCTCTGCCCCACGCTCGTTTGGTCGCGGTCCCCCCCGGCGTCCCCCAGCTCACAGCCTCCCCCAGCCCGCCTGGCTCCCTCCGTGCCCCCTCCCAGCCCTCCCTGGCACATGGGGACCAAGGGCCCGGGCTGGGCTGGCAGTGCCAGCAGCTGGGCTCAGGGGACGTCCTGGCAGTGAGCGGAGCAAAGCTGAGAGAACCGGCGCCAGCACAGAGAGCGGGACAGGAAGGGGGAGAAAGCGGGGACAGAAAAAGACAAGGACAGAGACGGCAACAGGGACTTAAGACAGAGAAGAAGATGAGGGAGAAGAGGGGAGGAGGGAGGGAAGGAAGGGCCTGAGCACCCCCGGTGAGCGCCCGGCCGTGGCGAGGAGCCAGCCCCACACGGCACAACCGCGGCTTGGCAGCGCAGCGGCGTCTGAGGACAGCGAGGGGCAGGGAAGCAGGACCTGGTGGCAGCTCTGGTGGCTGCCTGTGGCACTTGGCCCAGCAGGTTTGGGGGCTGGATGCCCCCATGGTGGTCGGGGGGTCACCCCCGTGGCACGACGGGTCCGGGGCCGGCACAGGGCAGGTGGGCAGCGACCCCGTGGCGTTCCCCTGCAGTCACAGACCAAGACCACCGAACACTGACAACCCACCCAAGGGTGTGTGGTGTGCTGGGAGCATCACTGGCCAAGCAAACCCATCCCAGACCTCTGAGCACCAGTACCATATCCCCCTCTCCTTTGTCCCCCCGGTGCCATCCCAGCCCCCTAGTTCCTGTCCCACATCCACATGTCCCACTCTGGAAGCCCAAAGAGGGGACGTGCCCTCCATGTCACCCCAGCCCTGCTGCCACCAGCTGGGGGTGGCCGTGGCACCCCCAAACCCGAGGGGAGGCCGGGCAGGTTCTGCTGGGCTGTGCTGGTGGCTGTGACCTGGGATGAGAGCAGAGGAACAATGTCCCCCTCCCGTGGGCAGGGGCACGCGGGCACCGCGGGGACATCACCGGGACTCCAGGGTGGGCTGAGAAGGGATGAGACGACAGCAGGGCCAGGGGGAGGGAAGTGGAGTGACAGCTGTCAGTCCATCAGTGCGACACGGGTGACGCCTGAGCTGGGGGAGGTGGGTGACCCCACCAGGCTGTGTTGGGGGTCCGCAGTGTGAAGCCATCGAACCCCTCGGGGGTTTCACGGGGTGCTCGGTGCACTCCCAGCTCTGTGTCCGAGCGTGTCTGCGGAGGCCAGGCCATGGCCTGGGGATGGTTTGGTCACAGAGGTGGCAGCAGTGGGCAGGGAGTGGTGATGGCACAGAACAAAGCTGCCAGGAAGGGGGAAATGGGGGTGTTCAGGAGCGTGGGGAGCCCACCCGGGCCACTTGAGAGAG